CATAATGATATACTTTATGAGCTCTTGTTGTAAAGGGAAAATTAAAAAAGTGTGACATGTAATTATTTATTTATTTTGGAGCTTCCTCTTTATTTATAAAACGCTATATTAGAGTGGGGTATTTAAGTAAAATATTTTACGAATAAAAGATAGTATTCCCTGTCGAGCGAGCCTTCGGGAGCCCGGGGCTCTTTTAGAATTTTTAATATATCTATTTCTTAAGGTTTAGGAGTTGATAAGAATCAACCAAAGGTTGTTCTAGACACAAACACAATCTAACGCACTATAACCACCACCCTTTGGGGTGGGACCTTTATTAAAATAAGGCTTAGAAGACTATAAAAGAAGATTTCAGAAGATTATTCTATAAACCAGAGATGGTCAGATAAAAATAGAAAAATTACTAAAATAAAATCCTAATTAAAAGAAAAATTATATTGATTATTATTTTATTCTTTTTAAAATTTAATATTCTAATGTAAATGAGATTTTAATTCGATTTATTATTATGAATATAAAGGGGGGTGTTAATTCCGGTTCTTAAAATTATGAGTATAATAATAAGAAAGCCATCATTAAAGCGAATAACCCAATTGCTTCAGTTAAAGCAAATCCTAAAATTGTATAAGAGAATAATTGAGCTTTGATTGAAGGGTTTCTAGCAGTAGAGTTTACTAAAGCTGCGAATACTGTTCCAATTCCAACACCTGCACCAGCTAATCCGATTGTAGCTAATCCTGCACCTATGATTTTTGCGCTTGCTAACATTTTATATTTTTGTTATTTCATGTCAATTAAGACATGAATTATATTAAACTATCTTTTTATTAATTCTTGTTATTTATATTTAACCGGTAAGATAAATTTAGACCACTTATCCTAAATAAATTACATTTAGGTCCTAGTTTTTATATATAAATATATAAAAACAGACCTTTCTTAAAGAGGATGGTTAACCTTCGCTTCTCGAAGGCAGACCTCCGGGCTACCAGTTTTTAATTTTTTAAATTATCCGGGGGCCCCACCTCCGCATTTTTGCAGAGGTCCCCCGGCTCAAATATTTTAAATAAAAAAGGTCGTCCCTAGGGAGTATAAAATAAAGGGGACCATGGAGGAAAGGGGGAATAATTCAATATAAATAAAAGGATCTTCGGGTCCGAACAAGATTATAGCTTAATTGGTTAAAGCGCTAATTTAGGAGGGGAATTATTCTATATAAATAAAAGGATTGTAGCTTAATGGTTAAAGCGCGGTCTTGATAAGACCGATAGTAGAGGTTCGAGTCCTCTCAGTCCTAAATAACAAGTACAAATAAAAATTCTTTTTTTAGTAAAGTCCATACAGAAGAAATATTGATTAAAATAAGTGAAACTAAAAAAGGAGAAAATCCTATGTTTGGGAGAGTAGCTCTTAATGCGAAAAGAATTTATATATAAATTTTAGATAATAAACTTGAAAAGGAATGTTCTTCAATAAGTGAAGTAGTAACATGGTTAAATACTTATTCTATAAAAATTGATAAATATCTTTTTTTCTGGTAAAGTTTTTGATAATAAATATATTATTCGAGATTCAATAATTTAGAATTAGTTAAATATTACTATCTAGAATAATAATCATTTAACATTCTGTTTGGCCCTTGTATCTCTTCTAAATTTTAAAGATAAGACCGATAGTAGAAGTTTGAGTCTTTTTAGTCCTATAAAGACTGATAAAATCAGGGAGATTCTCCCTTTCTTTAAGTTTTTTCTATGAATTTTTCGACCTCTTTCCCCCGTAAACTTTATATTTTAAATTTGTTCATACCTTCGGTGGCCAAGGTGTTAAATTTAATATAAAGATCAATGGATCTTATCGAGACCTTTTGAATAAGTTTATTTCCTTTTCCTTCTTAAAGTAAACGAGGACCCCGGGGTCCGAACAGGTTATAAAATTTAATGAGAATGTTTATAAAATAAGGGTTTATAGCTTAATTGGTAGAGCACATAATTGTCGATTATGAGGATATCGGTTCGAATCCGTTTAATCCCGATAAAATTAGGCCTACGCTGGTCTACAAAACCGAAAAAAAATGAAGAATCTTGCTCCATGTGCGACTTCCTTTCAGATGGTTTTTAAAAAACCTATTTGGTCCTTTTGAGGACCTGTAGAAAAGGACATTGACTCTTGGAGTCGCAAGTCAAAGCTTTTATTATTTTGGTAAACCTGTTGTCTTCCTGCGGGAGGATTAAATTTTAATTATTTTTATTTTATAAAAAAATGCCTCAATTATTACCATTCTATTTTGTTAATATGATCTCTTTTTCTTTTTTATTATTTGTAGTAATTTTATACGTATTATCTACTTATATTTTACCAACATATCCATTACTTTTCTCTGTAAGAATGGCGTTAACTAAATAATACTCTAAATTTGAAGGTCGGTCCTGGGGAGCCCGGGCTTGCTTATAAAAATATAGAAAAGGGGTTCAATCTTAATGGATAATTATTCAAGCGGATTGGACACCCAACTTATATATTACATATTTATTAATAAATATTTTTTATAAAATAAATTCTGAATATTTTTATAAAATAAATTCAGAATACTTTTTATTTAATAAATTCAGAATACTTTTTATTTAATAAATTCAGAATACTTTTTATTAAATAAATCTGTAAATATAGATTCCATTTTGGCTATTATATTTATTAATATATGTTGTGAAATAGCTATTTTTATCTAGGTTATATCATTTAGAAATAGGTTTAATATTTAACCAAAAATCTTTGAATTCATTTTTTGAAGAAGCAGAACTATAGTTTCTAGCATTATGTTTATAATTTATATCTTTAAATAAAGGTTTATCTTTTATAAGAGTTAAATAATTAATTGGGGGGAGTTCAGAATCTTTTTCTTTGTTAGCATAGTTTAACGCTCCAGAAGCATATTCGTATACGAATCCAATTGTTAAAACTACTAAGAAGAATACTAAGATCCAGAATCCTGATTGTCCTATAGAGTACATTGATACTGCTGCAGGGAAAAGAAGTAATACCTCTAGATCGAAAACTAAGAATAAAATACCTACCAAGTAGAAATGAATAGAGAATTTTTGTCTAGCTTGCTCAACTGGAGAGAAACCACATTCGAATGTAGTTAATTTTTCTTCGTTAGGTTTAGATTGAGCAAAGAATAAATTTAGTACTAATAAAGCAATTACGATAACTGGTACTAATATAAAATAAAATAAGAATGAATTCATTTTAGAAATAATAAGTATTTAAAGCTATCAGATGTATACTATTTAATATTGGTGTTGGGTAAATCATAAAGAATATAATAAATAAGGTTAATATTGCTACAATAAAAGCTAATATAGGTGATAAGTTATTATTTTCAGATGTAGAAGTTGAATCATTGGCAACTGGTAAGAATAGAGTTTTAATTATTTTAAGATAATAAACTGTACTAATTACGGATGTAATCACGATTACTAAACTTAAGAAGTAATTACCATTCATTAAAGCTGAATTAATTACAAAATACTTACCAAAAAATCCTACTAAAGGCGGAATACCACCCATAGAGAATAGGGATATTGCAAGAGCTAGGCTAAGAGTAGGATTTTGATAGAATTGTCCTTGAAGTTGTGATATAAATTGTATTGGTGAATATATAGATACAGTTTTATTTACACTTAAAGTATAACCTAATAAAATTAAGATTAAAAAGATGTTTAAACTTGTTATAGAGTATTGAACAATATAGAATATTGTACTTTCTAATCCATTTATACTTTCATTTCCTAAAGCTAAAAGAATTAATCCTACATGTGAGATAGTACTATAAGCTAATAATCGTTTTATTTTATATTGAGCTAATCCTGTAATAGAACCTAATAATAATGATAATAAAGCTGAAATCATTAATAAATTAGGTTCAATTAAGAAATTATTCATGATAAAGAATACTAAAATTGATAATTTAGGCATTATTGTTAACCAAGTTGTTACCATAGTAGGTACTCCATCATATACATCAGGAGCCCATGAATGTAATGGTGCTGCACCAATTTTAAATAATAAACCAATTGTTAAAATTATACAACCTATAGCTAAATAGTTATAAGAATTATTTTCAAATGATTGACCAATAACACTTTGTAAAATATTTAATGATTCAAAATTTGTTAAACCTGTATAAGAATATATTAATGTTGAACCTAATAAAATAAAACAAGAAGAAAGACCACCAAGTAAAAAATATTTTAATCCTGCTGCTACTGCTGATTCTGAATTTCTATTCATAGTAGCTAAGATATATAAAGCAAAACTTTGTAATTCTATAGCTAAAAACATAGTAATTAAGTCAGAACTAGATATTAATGATGACATTCCCAGAGTAGTGAATAAAATAATTAGAGGATAATCCTTTAATCCTTCTTTATTTTTAGTAGTAGGTAAAACTTCTTTAACATTAGATGATAAATTATCCCAATAGTTCCATGTACTCATTGTTGTTTTATTAGAATCAAAATTATTTTCTTTATTTAAAGAAGATAATTCTTTATTAATTTTTTCCCCTGAAGGTGCTATTAATAAAATTATACTACCTATGATTAATATAAATATTTCTAGGCTTTGTGATAATATTGTTGTTTGAAATAACCCTCCTAATAATCCTACTCCTGTAGATAAAGGTACAACATATAAAGTGTTATACGCTAATAAACTACTGAATAATAATATTAAAAAAGCAATTCTGTGAATTAAGATTGTTGATAAATAAGTAGAAGCTAATGGTATCGTCATTACTAGAGTTATTATTCCTAATAGTAACATTTATCTAAAAAAAATCACAAAGAAAGATATTTATATTAAATATAGGTTAGCTAAGGATATTAATATAAACAAAGCTTCCGACCAAAGGCTGGATACGTCACCCTCCCGTCCTGTGGGCGAAGCTCTCTCTCTGGGTGTTTTTTAAGGGAGCGTTATAAGTTTTATATTTTAATTTTAGCTGTTAGATGAACTCAAACCATCACTCTAAAAATCCCGGTCCTTGGGATTATAGGTTCTTTCATTAAACTATAACAGTATCAAGTACGTATGTACTAAAAGAGAATAAAAATACAAGACCTTCATTTTACTTGAGAAAAATCACGCTAGTTCTATACATTAATTCTATTAAAAAGTTTTTTAAATTTTTAAAGTTTACACCAATCAATTTCATTAAAAAGTTTAATTACACTAATTCTAATTCCATTCTTTTTTAACCAACACCCTTGTTTTTTTCCTAATTTTTTTTCGTCCCTTACTTTCTTTGATAAAAAACTCCCCTTATTTTCCTTGATAAAATCTTCCCTTATTTTCCTTGAGAAAAATGTGATAGGTAACTAAAAAGGGGTAATTATATTTCCTCACATATGTTTTTATTAAAGGAGAAAAATAATAATTACTACACAGGTTTTTATTAGAGAAGAAAAATAATGAAAATAACCTAGGTTTTTATAAGAAAAGAAAATCGGATTAAAAATGTTGGAAATGAAAGAAGACCAGACCTTTTCAGAAAACATTTTTGTAAAATTTATGTCTCAGTATAACTAAGAAAAATTATGTATTAGTATAATTAAAAAAAAATTATGTCTCAGCATAACTATAGTAAAATATTATGCCAAAGACGTAAGTTACGCCAGTTTTTTTTTATAATAGTCTTAGCCGAGTTTTATGATAGTCTCAGCCGGGTTTTATGATAGTCTTAGCCTTATTTTTGGTTAAATAGATTGGGTAAAGCTTCGTGTATAAATTAAATAGATTGGGTAAAGCTTCGTGTATAAACGAAGCTGGCTATGGCCGGTTATTTATAAAAATAATAATAAATTTTGTCACCATAAAATGGTAAATATTGTAAGAGTTTGAATTTGGCTCAGAAGGAACGTTATCTAGAAGTTTCATACATGCTAGTTGAATGAATATTATATATTCATAGCGACCAGGTGAGTAATAAATAGGAAAGCTACTCAATGACACGGGGGAATCTCGTATATAACTATAGTTTAAAGAAATGTTTTCATCATTGAATGTGCCTATTTTGGATTAGGTAGTTGGTAAGGTAATGGCTTACCAAGCCTATGATCCATAGCCAGTCTGAGAGGAGGGTTGGTCACAATGGCTCTGAAATAATAGCCATACCTAACAAAAAGGTCAGCAGTAAAGAATTTTGGACAATGATCGAAAGATTGATCCAGCTAACTAGAAGAGGAAAAGCATCTTTATGGTATACCTCTAAAATAGGGAGGATAATGACGTTACCTATTTATTAATCCCGACCAATCTCGTGCCAGCAGTCGCGGTAATACGAGAGGGGTTAACGTTCTTCAACATAAATGGGTCTAAAGCGTATGTAGGTTGTATCATCAAACAGTAGTTATGAGATTTCAATAGAAAAATTATAAAATGTAATTGAGATACTAGAGTGTAATTGAAGATAGAGGAATACTAGGAGTAAGGATGAAATCTTTTTATACTTGGTAGACACACTAAAGGCGAAGGCATCTATCTAATTAAACACTGACACTGAGATACTAAAGTATGGGGAGCAAAAAGGATTAGAGACCCTTGTAGTCCATACCCTAAACTATGAGTGGATAAAATTGGTAATTTAAATCAGTTTTAATGTGAAGACTATACCACTCCACCTGGGGAGTACTATCGCAAGATTGAAACCCAAAAGTATTGACGGTGCTGAAGACCAGCAGTGAAGCATGTTATTTAATTCGATAACCCACGCATAACCTTACCACTTCTTGCTATGTACCAATATAATTGGTAACACAGGCGTTGCATGGCTGTCGTCAGCTTGTATCGTAAGACGTTAGATTAATTTCGTTAACAAGCAAAACCCTTGTCTGTAATTATGAAAATTAAAATAAAATTTAATTTAAACTACAGAAGTACTCGATTAATGTTGAGTTAATTAGGACTAAGACAAGCCTTCATGGCCCTTATGGAGTGGGCTATAGACGTGCCACAAAGACCTTTACAATAAGAAGCAAAAATTTACATTTGAGCTAATCTTCAAAAAAGGTTAATAAACGAATTATAATCTGCAACTCGATTATATGAAGTAGGAATTGCTAGTAATCAAGAATCAGGATGTCTTGGTGAAACATAATATTCGGCGTGTACAAATCGCTCGTCAAGCGGCGGAAGTAGAGTAATCTCAAATAAGGGAGACTAATTTAACAGTATTGTTTTATTATTATAATTACCATTAAATCGGTATATAAACATTATATGTATTTAAGTATATCCTTTATGTCCATTACTTTACGACTGCTGTTAAGTCGAAACATAGTCATGGTACGGGAACGTGCTTTGGAGTAGTTATCAACCAAGGGATTAAAATCCCCCTTAATTAATAAATAAATAAATAAATAAGTCAAGGGACTTTAAGAGGGCTAATAAGATATTAATCCCTTGGGAATAAAACAATGAATAAAAACAATTCGAATTTAACTTGGTTTATAACAGGATTAACTGAAGCAGAAGGTTGTTTCAATATCAATATATATAAAACTAAAGCAGGTAAAAAAACAGCTAAATTAAGATTTTCAATTGCTGTGATGGAAAATGATCTAGAATTATTAAAATTAGTAAAAGATTGTTTTAATTGTGGAACTATCTCAGAATCTCGTACTAATGGTATGAGATATTTTACTGTTTCTAAAATATCAGATATAAATAATATTATTATACCACATTTTCAATCTTATCTTTTAAGAGGTACTAAATTATTAGATTTTGAAGATTGGGTATTAGCTGCTAATATTATTATTACTAAAAGTCATTTGACTGAAGAGGGTATTGAAAAATTACAATTATTATTTGATGGTATGAATAGAAAACGTAATAAACTTGAGAATTTTTTACCTGATCATTGTAATAAAAATTCTTCCTTATTTATACCAATAAATGGGAATTATATCTCAGGATTTATTGCTGGTGATGGATCTATAAATATACATCCATTTAGTTTAACTTTTGATAGTTTAAAATTCTGTAGTATTTTTTTAAGTATTACTCAACATAAAAATAATCTTTTCTTAATGAATGAGATTAAAGATTTTTTTAACGTTAATAATAAATTAAAAATTCAATCAAATAATTCAGTTCAATTATTAATAGAGAATAAAGAATTTTTTAGATCTACATTAATTCCTTTCTTTAATAAATATCCTTTACATGGTATTAAATTAATTAATTTAAATAAAATTATTAAAATATTAGAACTTATTAATAAATATGGTATAAATAGATCTAATTCTTATACATCAGATATAAGAAAAGAAATAATTAACATATGGTTCGCAGAAACATAAAGTCAATTGACTTTAATAAACCTATATAAATGAGGATGGCAGGTATTAAAATATAATATTATGGAGCCATTTAAAAATCCCCCTTCCTTTTTAAAAAGGGAACGAGCAGTGAAGAATTTAACATATATTAGATCTTAGTAGTTAATGTTTTTAAGATTAAAAAAAATAATATAGGTTAATAATAAAAGGCGGAGGATGGGGTATATAAAAAAATTAGATCTTAATGATTAGAGTCTACTAAGATTTACAAAATTAGATCTTAATGGTTAGAGTCTACTAAGATTTACAAAATATGAAAATATGAACTATTTTAAATATTTTATATTTATATATAAACCTGTTGTCTTCCTGCGGGAGGATTAAATTTTAATTATTTTAATAAGTTGTAAAAAATGAGCATGAATAAATTCAAAATCATTGTACCAACAATCGGAGTAGTAGCATCGAGTGCTGCTGCATATGAAGTAGGTCGTCAGCAATCAAAAACTGCTATGGAAGTAAGTATTCAAGAATCAAAAACTGCTATAGAAATAGCTACAATTCAAGCAAATTCAAATATAGAAATTGCTAAAATTGGTGCAAAAAGCCAAATAGATCAGTTAACAGTTAAAGCCGATTTGAGTAAAAATTTAGTAAAGGCCGAAGCTAATCAATCAAATGTTATAAATAACGTTGAATCAGTTAATTCGCCTCTGGAAATAGGAGAGTTAAAGGATTTAATCCTTAATTTTGATTTTAGTGATTTACCATTTGAAATTTTAGTTGGTATATGTATATTTACTGGGACATTTGCATCACTGTGGTGTATTTTTTTTTTAGTAATTTACGTGACTGTTTACAAGTTAGATTTACCGTTAGAAAATTATTACTCTGGTTATATGCTTAAGTTAATTAATTTTGTAAAACCATTTTCTGATGGGTTTATAGGAATATACTTAACCCTTTTGGTTTGTGCCCAAATGACCTTATTTATATTAAGTTTAAGATTATTAAGCGGATACTAATGAAAATCAGATTAGGCTCATTCTACCTATAATTAAGAATGGGGGGCTTTATTGATAAAAATAAAGTAAAAACATGGTTAAATAAAAAAATTATTTAACTCCCCCCTTTTTATTATAAATTTAATTTTAATTTAGGTAAATTTGGGATATATTTTAATTAATAAAATAAGAAAATTTTATCTAGAGGAATGTACTCAATTTTTATTATCTCAAAAATATTATAGTCATAAAATCTTGATTAAGATTAATCTTTTTTAAAAAATTCTAGAGGGAACGAGCAGCGGAGTAGTTATCAACCAAGGGATTAAAATCCCCTTAAAAGAGATAATTATATTATTTTATTTAGCTAACTTTTCACAAGACCTTAATTTTCACAAGACCTTAATTTTCACAAGACCTTAATTTTCATAAGACCTAAATTTTTACAAAACTTAAATTGTGAGGGGAAGTCGCTAGAGACAGTTTCGGGTCTTGAAGACCCGATGTAGCCCCTTTTTTAAAGGGATAGCTTTTGTAATATTTTTATAATTATATACTCGCCTTCCGGGTTTAGAAATTAAAAAGAATGAATTAAATAGGTCTATATAGAGTTAAAGATTAATCATTAATTATATATTCATTCTTATAAGGGTCATTAAAATAAAGGTAATTAAAACTTTCACTGTTCAAGTCTATTTTTTTTTTAATAAATTTAATTAAAAAGGATATATAGA